CGGCCGCAAAATATCCTTTCGAGCCAGAGTCGCGTGTCAGTTGCGCACTAGCGCTCACGAGCACACCGCGGCTGCTGCTCGTGGGTCCTAGCCATCTAGTTCAGCCACATTCCACGCCTTGTAAACTTAAACTTTAATAAGTTACAAATATTCTGATATTAAAAACAAAATTAAAAATAACTCAGTCATAATGATCATTAATAAATTTTTGAACTAATTATGATATGATTAGTAATTAATTGATTGGCATTCCGTCATAATATACGATTGAAATAAAAGCTAGCAAATCCTCGACCAGTCTCCCTAAACATTTTACTTCAATTTTTTAATTGGCTCTCCTCCGAACTTCAACCCGATATTATGGCGGCCATAAAATATCCTTACGGGGTTCAGTTATATTACAAATATGCTGGCTCCTTACGAAACAAATGCTCTAACAGGGTCTCAGCGATATGTTACTTGCGGACCTGTTTCTGTGACTGTGCCTCACCGCCGACAGTATCCCCCGTGCCTCTACGCGCAGCGCTGATGTAGGCTAAACTAGATGGCTGAGACTTACGAGCAGCAGCTACAGCATCTCCTGCAACTTCCTCCAATTAATTTGCTTGTGAGTCCTAGGCGCCTAGTTTAGCACCCCATCCGCGCTCAGTGGTGAGTTTAATCTCGTTTTGCGCATACTATTATCGTCTGCTAGTATCGTCTGCAGGAACGCTAGAAATTGTCAACGGTCGCTTCTATCGTATGCTACTATCGTCTGCAATGTTGCGTCTCTTGAAATTGTCAAGTAATCCTGGTTTTGCCGCGATTTGTTCCTTGGCAGAAAGTCCGCATTTTACATATGCCTGAGCCCCGTAAGGATATTTTATGGCCGCCATAATATCGGGTCAAAGTTTGGAGGAGAGCCATTTAATTTAATTACCTGTTTTGGAAATTTAATTTAAAGTACTTTTACATCGATAGTCAGCGAGTCCTCTGATTTCTATATTATTTAATTTTTCTTCATTTTATGAACAATAAAAGAATAATTAAGTTGTGTGCTGTCTCAGCTGCAATCAAGATTGCCGGTTGTGCACTCATTGCTGTTGTAATTTGGAAATATTGTATGTCTTGGGTCTCTTCCACTGTGCAGTTCTCATACAACACTGTTTGAACATATGAATGAGTGCTTTGTAATTTTTCTTCTTTCCATGCTTCTTCTTTTTCTTCTTCCTTCAGCATTCTGAGCCCTTGAGTTTTATTGCTGCAAATATCACCCAACTTAGTTCATATTTATGACTGGCTTTCCCTTTCCTTTGGTGAATCCAAGTGTTTGTAGATCTGCCCGTATATTATTTCCCCTCTGTCTTTATTGGTGCAACATCACAGTTTTTACAAACAAATCATTTACTTATGCTGTGCTTTTGAAATATATTCATTACTTATGTCGTTATGCACGATATAATGCATTTTCCAATAGTGATTGATGTTTCTGCTAATTTTTATTTTTTTTAAAATTTAGATTGAATGCATAGATGTGTTCTCATATTTGTTTATGCCTTTGGCCTGTAGAATTAACCCTGGATTGTTAAATTATGATTTCTGCTGGCAGAAGAACCAAGCAGTGATGGGGTGACCCATTGTCATCAAGTTGCTACCTTAACACCTTCACCCCAATCACCTGGAAAAAAAACAAAGCCAAGTTCCTATACCTTCCATTTTTAAAAATAAAATATTCTTAGAAAAAATCCTAAGGCAAAAAAAAAAATATTGTTACATGCCACTAAGAAACTCCTGCAACTGAAAACACAGAACTGTGGCGCGGTGATTTAGGTCACAGGTGTGAGGGAAAGTTAAGTCCAACATGATGTGTATAAGGAGATACTCCGTACGTCACTCGGGCGCCAGTCCTTCACTGTTCTGGTTTTACAGAACCTCACGCAAGACCCCTGCAGCACGTCCTCGTCGTGCGCCACGGATAATGTCTCAAATGAGCATTAACAGAGCTGTCAGGCGGCCCCCAGAGGTGTAGTTTCCTTGTGGCTCTCATCAGCCCGCCCCCAAACGCATGGGTGAAAAAGGTTATCAAAACTCATTAGGAACATGAGTAAAGTGCTTGCCAAATGTACAACTAAAATTACAACCCTTGGTTAAAAGATTGCGGAGTGAAGAGAACATTGTTCTGCTGAGACTCAACCCGTGACCTAGAGATTTACCTGCAGCACAGACGAGTAACATCTCCTGGGGGTATCGTCTCGCAGCAAGATTCTACCCATGTACATCCTCTGTTAACCCTCAGTGTCGTTGTCACCGCACTGAGGTACACCACAACAGCAACAGCCCATTGGCTGGCTAAGCCTAAATGTCCGACAAAACTAGATCCTACGGCACACGAGTAAGCTCAAAATCCGACCATCACAAATCGTATTGAATGGGAAAAAGTCCAAATGTCCACACCCAAAGACCCCACTCGTGTTGGGACCAAACAGATAACGATATGCCTGACGCAGGATGTTAAATTCTGTCGTGCTAACGGCTCGTCAAAGATATCTAGCGTGTGAAGAAAAAGAATGTACCTATTCGTGTGGTCACAAAAGTCCAGAACCCGCAGGCTGCTCCCCGCTGATCTCCGGAGGGCGCAGCCCTTGTCGAGCAGGAGGCCTTATGCGGTTGTGAGGTTAAGCAGGCATGTGCAGGACGTGACGTTTCCTTGGGTGAGCCCAGAACCAGAGCGCTCTGCATACATGGAAGCCTCCTTGGATGACGGGGAATGCCCATGATCTGCCCCTGCCTTCCCTTGAGGGCTAACCATTCCCCAAGGGGCTGCCCCAAAGGGGTACTCCGGGGGCAACACCTGCGGAGAAGGCGACATAGAGGACACCACACAAATCAGGCAACGTCTCGACCTACACAAAAAAATGGCTATAGTCATCCTAGAAGTCTTCCCTCGTAGTCGGAGTACATCTGCCTGCGAGGCAGAGAACAGCAAAACGGTTGTACACGTAAAACTCAGGTCCAGGTAAAAGCCAAAAGTTCAAGCAGACGATTAACCGGGACCTTCCGCCGGAATTCCCTGCCGGTGAACGAAGAAAAAGAAGAAAACACAGAACTTAACTACTACTGCCTCAGTAACAAATCTTTAGGTCTCAGCCCTGTGCAGGTACCAGATACCAGCTTTATTGCAGTTGGAGACTTTAGCAGTCATTGACAGAGCTGTGGCTATAACCGTCTGGTCAACAGGGGGAAAGAGGTGGAAACATGGCAAGATGAGCAGTCTCTGATGCTGGTCATTGCCCTTTCAGATACTCCTACCTTCTACTCCAGAATGTGGCAGACAGCATCAACCACAGATCTTACCTTCTCTACCCCAGTTATATCTGAAATGAATAAGGGAGGTAGTAGACCAACTGGGGGGGGGGGGGGGGCAGTGACCATCACTCAATTTGTCTAGAATGTGTCAGTTAACACTGGCCCAGTCATCACAAGATGGAACTACAGGAAAGCCAAATTGGGCCTATACAAACACAGGACAAGCACATTGCTGTCTGCTGTCAGTGCATAAAATAGGGATACGAGTGCTATAGTACACAATTTCAATAGAAGTATTCGTCAAGCATTCCCTAGAGGATGTAGGCACAAACTACACACCTTACTGGTCCAGCACACTCCAGGAATGTCAGAAAATTATGAACTAGGCTAGAAAGGACTCAGAATGCCAACCTTCACCTGACAACCACATCACATGGAAAAAGGTTGTAGCAGAGTTCCAGAAGAAAAAAAAAGAACTGGATAAATAACGCAGCAGCTCTAAGCCCTGAGAAAGATGGCAAGAAACTCTGGAGATTAGCCAAATTACTCAATGAAGAGAGTTTCTCTCCTAAGACAAACAATCACACTGAGTGTAGGAGACAAAATCTCCAGAGGAAAACAAGCTGCAGATTTGTTTGCCAGAACATTTAGTGTTGAAAAAAACCTGCCCCTTAATAATGACCACCAGAGAGAAATAAGAAAGAAATACAAAAAAAACCAACAAATAAAACAAATACTCCTGCCTCTATGAAGGAGCCATTCACTAAGGGTAAACTTCAAAATGTCATTTTTAGGCTGAAGTTAAAAAAAAAGTCTGCAGTAATATGCTAATCAGTGTGTGCTTAGCTGCTAAAATAAAGCTGCTGGAAATTTTTATTGTCAGCAGGGATGAAGGACTAGTGCCTAAAGTGTGCAAGAGAAGCCATCACAATACCAATACTAAAAGAAGGAAAAATTAGGACCTATGCTTCAAGCTATCAACCAATCAGTCTCACAAGCTTTGTAGGAAAGACATTGGAGAGAATGATCAATTTGAGACTGAAATGGCAGTTAGAATCTGAGCAGATCTTGGTTTCAGAGTAAGCTGGGTTTAGAGAATGTCACAGCATAGAAGACCAAGTCACCTACCTGTCACAAGCTGTAGCCTACCTGTCACAAGCTGTAGCCTACCTGTCACAAGCTGTAGCCTACCTGTCACAAGCTGAAGAAAATGCCTTCCAAGGGAAGAAAAAAGGTTCTGGCAGTGTGGGCAGACTTCAAACAACCTTTTGACAACCCATGGAAAGATGGCCTCACTGCAAAACTGAAGAGAAGTAGAATCCAAGGAAAAGTGCAAAAATGGATCCAGTCGTTTTTATACAACAGGAGAACTAGTTACTATTGATGAACTAGTGTCTGTGAGACATGCGTTTATATAGCTACTGTATGTGAGATGGATGAGGTAATGTAACTGCTGTCTGGGAAATATACAAGTTGACATAACAACTATCTTGTAGATAGATGAGTTAATGTCACTATTTTTATGAGATAGATGAGTTAATTTAACCACTATGGTTGATTAACTAAATCAGAACCGTTGACTTTCTGACATGACACTTGGTGCTGGTCAAGTTACTGGGACTCATTGAGGATCTGAAATCTGGCTCTTGTGAAACAAATAGACATTAGTTATCACTTGGAATTGTGTAATCTTGTTTGGCATCCTTATTTTTCAGGATGTGAACTCTCCAGATGTTTTTGAATCAGATGATCTCCCAGAAGCTGATCGAAATATACCCCCTGCTGTGCAAGTAAGTTCATGTCTTGTCATCAGAGGTCACAAACAGAAACTCTTGAACGTTGAATGTCCAGATATTTTTGCTTGTAATCAGCCAAGCAGCCCTTAATAGTCTGTTAGGAGATGTGCTAAGAACACTGGCAGTTTTTAACGCTGTCGCCCAGAGAAGCTGCAAAAAAAAAAGTAAAGTGGGAAGATGTGAACCAGCGTCATTGCACACGGTTATAAACCATAAGTGCTCTACCACCAGTGTGGATAGCTGATAAGAATTGTCCACCTGTGTCGCCGTTTGCATGTAACTCTGTAGCTACAGCAACTTTCCTCCATTTACCCCAGAGTATCAACTCCGGTACCCATTTCCTAGAGGCTGGGTGAACCCTGGGAGCCAACCGGTTTCGAAACACCGACCGTGGGCTGCAGCGAGTCGCAGCTGGATTTGAAAGCCAGCCTCTTATCGACTGAGCTAGCGCGGCCCTCTAGAGAAGCTGCAAACCAGGCACTACTGGTTGGTGTCATTGTCCCATAAGAGTCGCTTTTCCAGCTCACTTTGTTGGCTTGTTTATGGGAATCTTGGCTACAATTGTTGAACATTTTTGCATCTAGGAAGACATTTTGCATGACTGGGAGTGAATACATTTACTAAAAATAGCATTTAAAGGGTTTTCTCTGTAAAAAAAAAAAAAACTTTATATCTGTTCTCTACAGGTAATGTCGGCCTCTGTGGCTTAGATGCTGCAAACGAGCTTCCTAATGCCGGGTTCGATCCCAGCTGCTAGCGGTTTTTCTTGTGTTAGTTTCAACCTTGGTACCGAAAGCTGACTGTTCAGAAGGCAATGGTAAACTACTGACTGTACAATTTGCCTTAATGAAACCACAATAGCCCCCCCCCCCCACCCCCCCCCCGAAAAAATGCTATTCTTCAACTTCCTGTAAAGGACACACAACTAGCTTTAACAGGTAGTTATGGAAGTAATTACACATTTTATTGACAAGACATTTGAACAATAATAATTTATACATAATGTCTTGACGTCCTTGTTGCAGGAAGATCCCTCCAGTGACAGTGTTGAGCGCATTTCTATCAACACCAATGCTGCTTTTGAAACTTTCAAGAGCAAGTCAGTTTCTACTGGAAAGACAGGTATTCTCCTCAGATATTGAATTGATACATCCCTCCCAGATATCTATCATGTGTACAGCCCTCAGATATCTATCATGTGTACAGCCCTCAGATATCTACCATGTGTACAGCCCTCAGATATCTATCATGTGTACAGCCCTCAGATATCTACCATGTGTACAGCCCTCAGATATCTATCATGTGTACAGCCCTCATATATCTATCATGTGTACAGCCCTCAGATATCTATCATGTGTACAGCCCTCAGATATCTACCATGTGTACAGCCCTCAGATATCTATCATGTGTACAGCCCTCAGATATCTATCATGTGTACAGCCTCAGATATCTACCATGTGTACAGCCCTCAGAAATGTATCATGTGTACAGCCCTCAGATATCTATCATGTGTACAGCCCTCAGATATCTACCATGTGTACAGCCCTCAGATATGTATCATGTGTACAGCCCTCAGATATGTACCATGTGTACAGCCCTAAGATATCTATCATGTGTACAGCCCTCAGTTATGTACCATGTGTACAGCCCTAAGATATCTATCATGTGTACAGCCCTCAGATATCTACCATGTGTACAGCCCTCAGATATGTACCATGTGTACAGTCCTCAGATATGTATCATGTGTACAGCCCTCAGATGTCTATCATGTGTACAGCCCTCAGATATCTACCATGTGTACAGCCCTCAGATATGTATCATGTGTACAGCCCTAAGATATCTATCATGTGTACAGCCCTCAGATATCAATCATGTGTACAGCTCCCAGATATCTATCATGTTTACAGCCCTCAGATATCTATCATGTGTACAGCCCTCAGATATCTATCATGTTTACAGCCCTCATATATCAATCATGTGTACAGCCCTCAGATACCAATCATGTGTACAGCCCTCAGATATCTATCATGTTTACAGCCCTCATATATCTATCATGTGTACAGCCCTCAGATATCTATCATGTGTACAGCCCTCAGATATCTATCATGTGTACAGCCCTCAGATATCTATCATGTGTACAGCCCTCATATATCTATCATGTGTACAGCCCTCAGATATCTATTATGTGTACAGCCCTCAGATATCTATCATGTGCACAGCTCTGAGATATCTATCATGTGTACAGCTCTGAGATATCTATCATGTGTACAGCCCTCAGATATCTATTATGTGCACAGCTCTGAGATATCTATCATGTGTACAGCTCTGTGCTATCTATCATTTTTTCAGCCCTCAGATATCTATTATGTGCACAGCACTCATATATCATGTGTACAGCTCTGAGATATCTATCATGTGTACAGCCCTCAGATATCTATCATGTGTACAGCCCTCAGATATCTATCATGTGCACAGCCCTCATATATCTATCATGTGTACAGCTCTCAGATATCTATCATGTGTACAGCTCTCAGATATCTACCATGTCTACAGCCCTCAGATATCTATCATGTGCACAGCCCTCATATATCTATCATGTGTACAGCCCTCAGATATCTATCATGTGTACAGCCCTCAGATATCTACCATGTCTACAGCCCTCAGATATCTATCATGTGTACAGCCCTCAGATATCTACCATGTCTACAGCCCTCAGATATCTGTCATGTGTACAGCCCATTAGATATCTATCATGTGTACAGCCTTCAGATATCTATCATGTGTACAGCCCTCAGATATCTATCATGTGTACAGCCTTCAGATATCTATCATGTGTACAGCCCTCAGATATCTATCATGTGTACAGCCCTCAGATATCTATCATGTGTACAGCCCTCAGATATCTATCATGTTTACAGCCCTCATATATTTATCATGTGTACAGCCCTCAGATATCTACCATGTGTACAGCTTTCAGATATCTATCATGTGTACAGCCCTCAAATATCTATCATATGTACAGCCCTCAGATATCTATCATATGTGCAGCCCTCAGATATCTATCATGTACAGCCCTCAGATATCTATCATGTGTACAACCCTCAGATATCTACCATGTGTTCAGTCTTCTTCTTCTTCTACTCTTCTACCCAGTTATTACACTTACCAGTTTTGCTGCAGCTGTTGCTTTAACTCCTGCATTCTCATTATTTCACCTTTTTTTCCCAACTAAGACCTTTATTAGACAAAGTAGCAAATTAAAGTTCAAGTCACACCTTCTAGGACTGAAGTAGTTAGCGTCAGGTAAATTGGCTTACTTTAGGTTACTTTGTTATGGAAACATCTCATTTACATCACATTTCTCTTGGCACAGATTTCTCAGACAGTGTTGGCAAGATGAGGACCATTGGATACTTTGGTGACAGCACATTGCAGGAGTTTGTGAGTTCATTTTGTGATCTTGGAGTGGAAGTAGATGTAACACTATGACAGAACAGAACGCCAGTCCTTATGATAAGCTGAACAGTCAGTTTTACAATACAGTTGAACAACAGAATGAACTTTGCGACTAGATAAATTTCATCAGCATTTAACACAAACTAACAGTTACAAACAAGAATACTTAAAATTGTTTGATTTCACGGTGAGGTATGTCACAAAATATCCATCACGCTTGAACAGTAGGGCTCAGGGCAACATGTCATTGTCAAGAACCTGCTTATTTATGGCAATAACTCGTGTGCAGGATCATGACAGAAATGTCTATCCCTAAACACAACTAACCCAACATGCCAGAGCATTCATATCAGTCTTTTATATACTTTACAATCAGCAGTAAATAGTTTACCCCAGAGCTGGCTGTCAACCCTAACCCCACCGGCATGTGGGCTTTACAGTCACCACTCACACCCTGGCCATACAGTTGTTCCAGGCATTACCTGGGTCCGAACCAACAGCCTCCGATCCAAGCTCTTTTCTACCCTTCTGCAACTTATACTGAGACTGCAGTGTTACTGACTAGTGTGATGGACCGTCCACGTCACCTCACCAGACAAATCTTTTCTCCCTACGCACTGTTCAGTACCTAAATGAATACCTGCATAAATTAACACAGTAGCTAAACTTAAATTATCCTACTGTCTGACTAAACGTGTTATCACACAAATACCTGTCGCTGATTTAGGTCATATTAAGAAAACATCTAGCGGTCAGACACAACACACGTCTTGCCAAAAGTTTCCACACAACTCTCTCCAAAGACCTGTCTCTCCATCACTTATGTTCAAGTCTCCCCTCTCACTGCCCAGTCCTGGAGAATATCATGGACGCACGAGTGATTCATTCATCCCTCGCTAGTCATAGTCAAAGTTCCCATGGGCTATTTACCATGCACTCACAGAGTGGTCAGCTAAGAGCTAGCCCGCATATTTACCATCATCATACACCGACATCTCCTAGCCACACAAGACCCTTACAGTTATTATATAAACAACTGGACAGGAAGTAATCCAGAGAGTTGGAATTTGTGTGATAAGAGATTTTGGCAAGGGACATAACAAGACAGAAGTACTTTTGGTTGATTAATTGTGCAGATGCTGACCAATTATTCTTCTATCAGCTCTTCATGGGGTTTGTCATATGTCAGATGGAAATGTGGTAACTCAGTGGCTAGCGCCCTTGCCCACAAACCAGGTGATCAAAGACCCCCCCCCCCTTTCCACCCCCAAATGACCTCAGCTTCTAGGTTGACCCAGATTAGGAATGTGTACCCACTAATATTCTGCAAAGTTGGTCAACATGGTATTGACCACATCACCCAGTGATTGATCTCTATAAATATGGGACTAGCACCATATGCCTATTGCACTTTGAGGCCTGTCAATGATCTTTTACTGCCTGTACTTTGATATAGTCTCATGTTTGAGAGCAGATTGTTAGAATTTCTAATCCAATACTGACATCATAACACTCAAGACATACACATTTGTACTTCATTTTCCTTAGATGGCTATCTCCTCTCAAGACATACACATTTGTATTTCATCTCCCTTAGATGGCTCTCTCCTCTCAAGACATACACATTTGTATTTCATCTCTCTTAGATGGCTATCTCCTCTCAGGACATACACATTTGTTTTTCATCTCCCTTAGATGGCTATCTCCTCTCAGGACATACACATTTGTACTTCATTTCCCTTAGATGGCTATCTCCTCTCAGGACATACACGTTTGTACTTCATCTCCCTTAGATGGCTATCTCCTCAGGACATACAAATTTGTACTTCATCTTCCTTAGATGGCTATCTCCTCTCAGGACATACACATTTGTACTTCATCTCCCTTAGATGGCTATCTCCTCTCAGGACATACACATTTGTACTTCATCTCCCTTAGATGGCTATCTCCTCCCACAGGAAACTTCAGTTAATTAGCATGTGGTAAAAGTAATTATTTAGGGATTTGCTGAAATCAGACATGTTAAGCCAAAATGCATGGATATCACAGCCGTCCGAGGGTGAGCACAGAAGAAGTCTAACATTTGATCTGTAGCAAAATACTCATGAGTTGAGACGAATTTAGCTGAGGTGCAAATGAGACTTGTTTTCTGCATCTTAGGCTGAGGATGGTTCCAAAAGTGAAAGCCCACAGAAAAAGTTTCAGCGACTACAGCAAGAGTTGCGGGACCTGGCCGAAGAGGTTGGAAAGTTGAAGGTAATGCAGCCAGTGACATATTTTAAAAGTTTATAATTGCTTGAGTTACTGTTCTTGTGCTGTTGAGTTGTCTACTCTTGTCAGTCAAGTTTGTTTTTAGGACATGGTCTGGCCGGTGATCCATTCAGTTTTGTTATTGTTGGAGATGGGTGTAGGTTGCTTTCATGGTGTTTACAAGCATTATACAGTTGATGAGGAGGAGGATGTTTGTAGATTAATCGTTATATAATGAGAACAAATTTAAAGGTTCAGCAGTATCATTGACAACAACTTAAAATCCCCCCCCCCCCCCCCCCCCCCCCCCCCCCCGCCCCCCAAGAATTTTTTTTTTTATTAAGATCTTTAGAATTTAATCTTTTTTGCAGTTCAAATGTAAATTTATTCTTTCTTTCTTTAAAAAAAAGAAATGCTATTAAAATGTATGAGTTCCATTGCAGACCTTTGAAATTAAAAGCCCGTTGATCTTAGCTGATTTAAGAATCATTGGTCGACTTATGTCATTGGACTCACAATGGTGTAGGGGTTAGGATATTTGCTTTACAGGACAGTGGTCACTTTATTTGAGTAGAAGGATTCCTGTGTCTAGCCGTACAGATTTAATCCTTTGAACCTCATAAAATGAAGACCAGGTAATTGTATGATTATTAAATGTCAGACAGGTTGCGGGGAGGGTCGCTGGCCACTCCAGCTCACCATGCCTGGCCTATGGTATGTGAAAGCCTAATGCTGTAATATGACTGACTGTATATTTTACATCTTACACCTTCTCTGTGACATCATCATCAAATGTCTTTTCAGCTGTTGTGCCTCTCCTCAACCTGCGACGATTAACAGTATTCATCAGCTCTTGAGCTGACACCCATCCATGCCATTACAAAAGGATGTCAAGAATCTTCTTACATTGTTTTCTGTCCACAAATCTTTCCAGTGATCGCATGTTCCAGTTTGCCTCTTTGCATACATGTTTCTGGTTTAAGTGCCCTCACATCTTTTAAAACATCTGTTAGTTGTTTTGGCTGGCTTCACTAGAGGTGAATTGATCCAAGCTCAATTGCTTTTCTCTTGTTACCCCCAACCTTGCCTGGCCTGAACAGTAAATCTGTTTCAGCTGAAATCTATAGCAGCATTAACTTGCTCAGTCCCACAAGGTCATAGCTAATGCCTGCGGAAGTTCGATGGCAATACTTAACTCATGGTTATACTGCTTCCACAAGGGCCAAATCAAGAACCCTTGCAGACAATAAATATATTGTCAGAATTCTTCAGAGTGACTTACTAAAGGTAAGATGTAATAACACACACAACCTGCTGACTGGTAGATATGAATAATACCCAGTCACACATACTGCCCTGTTTGAAACCAAAAGAGTTAATGTTAGTCACTTTATTTGGACAGGAGAATGTAACAGATGCTGGCTCTGGTGAGTCTGTGTCTCCAGTGGCCATGGGAAAGCAGCTAGAATACCTCCAGCACCAACTGACAGAGCTACACCTGGAGAAGGTGCTAGGTCCTGAAGCTTCTGTGGATTTGGCTGACCCACAGGGACTGTTGAGAAGGTTAGAAGATATTTACTCTGGTGGAATGTGTTTGTCTACTGGTTACAAGTATGCTCAACAATGATCATTAGATTCTTTTACAGAGCAAATTGATGACAAACATTTACAGTTCGGTCAGTGGCTCTCAAACTTCCAAATGCTCACAGCCGTTTGAAACAGTTCCTCATCCCCAACCAGAAAATTGTGTTCATAGCTACTTCACAACTTCAGTGAATATGTGTATGGTCTTAGGGGACCCCTGTGAAAGGGTCATTCGACCCCCTTTGTAGGTTGAGAACCGCTGAATTAGATGATTCTTTGTTGTTAAAAAAATCTGCAGAGTAAGCCATTGACCCTTTCCTACCGAAAGGCTTCTATTGTGGCCTTGCTGTCTGTTACCAATCCCCGTACAGTGTTGTCTAAGAAAGCTGGAAGTTGTGAAGATGAGAAAGAAAGGGGTGAGACATGAGGCTGAGAGCAAACAAACAAACTTTCATTCACTAGGAACACAACATACATGCATGGGTAGAAGCCCATTGAACACAAGATGTGCCAATTTTATGTCTCTCTTGACCGCCCGTTGGGCCCCTGATGCTATACCTCATGGGACTGAAAGAGTTAAAGCATATAAATTTATTATGTAGCTACATGTAGTTAAAGATCTGTTCTTGTTGTTATCTAGTTTGTTTTCTTCCATTTCCCAGACGACTGTTGACAGAATTGGATAGTTTGAAGCCCGTACTTGAGAAGGGCAAGAGCAAAGAGGATGCAGGTCGGGATGCCAAGAGTCATGTTTTGTATGAACTTTACCACAGACCTGAGCATGCTCAGTTCAGTAAAAATGCCAAGGTGAGCTTCAGCAATGACAAGTTGCAGTTTGATTTGACCGGCACAAAGATCTGACCTCTTCTTGTTATTGACTGAATGAATTCGTGTGTGGGTTCTGGGGCTCAGGAAAAAATAAACCGCTGCCCTCCAGCAAGCATGTTGTGAATGGCAGCCAAATGGGGTTTTGCAGAAGTAGGGTGTGATGAGCTGAAAAGCACTGATATTGCAGCCTAGCTGTAAACCACAAGTGCCAGTCAGCATTTCAAGGAGGAATGTAGAAGAAAAAAGAAGAAATAATGAAAGAGTTTATCTTGTCCAGTGACACATGGAGTGTGTTCATGCTTGTTTGAGGGGATTAGGTGCTTGTCTTCTAGCATTTGAAAGTAAACAATATTTTATTAGATGATTCTCTGTTTCCTGCGGATGAGGGGAATGCCAGCTTGGGTGTTTCATGTTAAAAATTGGTGTGTCTTCTGTGGCTGCTACCTCTGAAATGTCCCATTTGAGACTTCAGAAAGGGAATGGTTGTTTCATTGTCGGTTTTGAGTTTTTTGACCTACAAACTGCAGTGTTGTGGTCAAAGATGATAAATCTAGATTTTTGTGTTGTCCTTGATTGACTTCCCTCCATCTTGCTAAATCTGTTAGTTAGTTAGTTGGGTTCTTCATTGCACTCCGGACATGTCCATAGGTGCTCAGATCCTCCCCTCAGTATGAACCCCAACGTCTGATGGCTAATAGTACCAGTTCTATGTTGATTAACAAGTCTTCTGGTGTGTCTGGGGAGCTTCTCGTTTTTTGCTATGCCGATCTTAATTCCTAAGTCTGCCATTCTGGCGAGTTATGTGGATTCACAGCCCCCAGAGTCCTCTATCCTTTCAATTTCTCTGAGGGCATAAATAATATCAGCATGATCCATAGGCTGACCGTCGGTAGTGATAGCGGATCCAGCCAACCTGTCAGCTCTTTCATTTCCATTGACGCCTGCGTATCCTGTAACAAAAATAAAGGCGTCTCCACGCACAGTGGACTTCTGTAATAATTCAAGCCATTGTCTTCGCACTGAACCTGCCTGAACCCTCCAGATCATACTCATTGAATCACTGAGCATACGCAGATGTATTTTTGTGTTTCAAGCCAGGCAAACGCTTGCCTCACTGTCATCACCTCCATTGTCATGCTGCTGGTTGTCATGGAGAAGGCGCCGTTGGCTTCTTTGACTGTTTTGCCTGCTGAGCGTGCTGTGAATGCCCTTGGGCTTCTTTTTTTTTTTGTGTATAACAGATCGGTGGTGTTGTTTATTATTAGCTGTCATCTTGAACCACTTTATAAATTTGTTTCTGTATAAATGATACTTTTACAAGAGGGGGATTGCAGAGGGAGATTGAGTGATACTTTTTACAAGAGGAGGATAGAAGAAAAGGATGGAGTGAATTAATAAATGTTGTTTCCTATTTTTAGGTGGCCATGCTGGAAGAGAGACTTGAGCGACTGGAGAATGTTGTAGGCCGGAACTTCGACAAGATGGTATGTCTTCTCTCGACATTACAACACACTTATTGCAATGTCAGCTGCTGGTTGCATTCTGTAAATTGTTTCTATATATATATATGGGCACACACATATGTCACAGACAAGCATGCATGGGCACACACATATGTCACAGACAAGCATGCATGGGCACACATATGTCACAGACTAGCATGCATGGGCACACACATATGTCACAGACAAGCATGCATGGGCACACACATATGTCACAGACAAGCATGCATGGGCACACACATATGTCACAGACAAGCATGCATGGGCACACACATATGTCACAGACGAGCATGGGCACACACATATGTCACAGATGAACATGCATGGGCACACACATACATCACAGATGAGCATGCCTGGGCACACACATACATCACAGATGAGCATGCATGGGCACACACATACATCATAGACGAGCATGCATGGGCACACACATACATCACAGATGAGCATGCATGGGCACACACATACATCACAGATGAGCATGCATGGGCACACACATACATCACAGATGAGCATGCATGGGCACACACATACATCACAGTCGAGCATGCATGGGCACACACATACATCACAGACGAGCATGCATGGGCACACACATACATCACAGACGAGCATGCATGGGCACACACATACATCACAGACGAGCATGCATGCACACACATACATCACAAACGAGCATGCCTGGGCACACATACATCTCAGACGAGCATGCATGCACACACATACATCACAGATGAGCATGCATGGGCACACACATACATCACAGATGAGCATGCCTGGGCACATATACATCACAGACGAGCATGCATGGGCACACACATACATCACAGACGAGCATGCATGGGCACACACATATGTCACAGACGAGCATGCATGGACACACATACATCACAGACGAGCATGCACACACATACATCACAGACGAGCATGCACACACATACATCACAGACGAGCATGCATGGACACACACATACATCACAGACGAGCATGCACACACATACATCACAGACGAGCATGCATGGACACACACATACATCACAGATGAGCATGCATGGGCACACACATACATCACAGATGAGCATGCATGGGCACACACATACATCACAGATGAGCATGCATGGGCACACACATACATCACAGACGAGCATGCATGGGCACACACATACATCACAGACGAGCATGCATGGACACACACATACATCACAGACGAGCATGCATGGGCACACACATACATCACAGATGAGCATGCATGGGCACACACATACATCACAGATGAGCATGCATGGGCACACACATACATCACAGATGAGCATGCATGCACACACATATATCACAGACGAGCATGCATGGGCACACATATATCACAGACGAGCATGCATGGGCACACATATATCACAGTCGAGCATGCACACACAAACACATATTTGATAAATATATCAAAGCAAAATACAAAAGTAGGTCAGAAAAGGAACAAAGAACTCATAAAAATTGCTTGACTAGGACATTGATACCATTGTGTGATCCTATGACTTATTAAATATTTCGGTGTATGTTCAGTTGACTTAGATATCATTTCAGTGTGCGATCAGTTGACTTAGATATCATTTCAGTGTGCGATCAGTTGACTTAGGTATCATTTCAGTGTGCGATCAGTTGACTTAGGTATCATTTCAGTGTGCGATCAGTTGACTTAGATATCATTTGAGTGTGTGATCAGTTGACTTAGATATCATTTCAGTGTGCGATCAGTTGACTTAGATATCATTTCAGTGTGCGATCAGTTGACTTAGATATCATTTCAGTTTGCGATCAGTTGACTTAGGTATCATTTCAGTGTGCGATCAGTTGACTTAGGTATCATTTCAGTGTGCAATCAGTTGACTTAGGTATCATTTCAGTGTGCGATCAGTTGACTTAGGTATCATTTCAGTGTGCAATCAGTTGACTTAGATATCATTTCAGTGTATGATCAGTTGACTTAGGTATCATTTCAGTGTGCGATCAGTTGACTTAGGTATCATTTCAGTGTGCAATCAGTTGACTTAGATATCATTTCAGTGTGCAATCAGTTGACTTAGGTATCATTTCAGTGTATGATCAGTTGACTTAGATATCATTTCAGTGTGCAATCAGTTGACTTAGATATCATTTCGGTGTATGATCAGTTGACTTAGATATCATTTCAGTGTGCGATCAGTTGACTTAGATATCATTTCAGTGTATGATCAGTTGACTTAGGTATCATTTTGGTGTATGATCCGTTGACTTAGGTATCATTTCAGTGTGCGATCAGTTGACTTAGGTATCATTTCAGTGTGCAATCAGTTGACTTAGATATCATTTCAGTGTATGATCAGTTGACTTAGGTATCATTTCAGTGTGCGATCAGTTGACTTAGGTATCATTTCAGTGTGCAATCAGTTGACTTAGATATCATTTCAGTGTGCAATCAGTTGACTTAGGTATCATTTCAGTGTATGATCAGTTGACTTAGATATCATTTCAGTGTGCAATCAGTTGACTTAGATATCATTTCGGTGTATGATCAGTTGACTTAGATATCATTTCAGTGTGCGATCAGTTGACTTAGATATCATTTCAGTGTATGATCAGTTGACTTAGGTATCATTTTGGTGTATGATCCGTTGACTTAGGTATCATTTCAGTGTGCGATCAGTTGACTTAGATATCATTTCAGTGTGCAATCAGTTGACTTAGATATCATTTTGGTGTATGATCAGTTGACTTAGGTATCATTTCAGTGTGCGATCAGTTGACTTAGATATCATTTCAGTGTGCAATCAGTTGACTTAGATATCATTTCAGTGTGCAATCAGTTGACTTAGATATCATTTCAGTGTGCAATCAGTTGACTTAGATATCATTTCAGTGTGCGATCAGTTGACTTAGATATCATTTCAGTGTGCAATCAGTTGACTTAGATATCATTTCAGTGTGCAATCAGTTGACTTAGATATCATTTCAGTGTATGATCCGTTGACTTAGATATAATTTCAGTGTGCAATCAGTTGACTTAGATATCATTTCAGTGTGCGATCAGTTGACTTACATATCATTTCAGTGTGCGATCAGTTGACTTAGATATCATTTCAGTGTGCGATCAGTTGACCCAAATGTGATATCACTTTATGGTCATTTGCTTTAAACTTGTCAATATTTGATCTGTTGCCATAAATGTCATGTCAGTGTATGCTGACTTGGCTTAAATGACATGTTACTATGTTGATTTACTTACTTACTGAGTACCTTGGGATGTAGAGCTTTGCCAGAGAGATCACCAGACTTCTCCATCTCCAGTTTTCTTTGTGTGTGTGTGGGTGTGTGTTTGTGGCTTTGTTCTATTCCAGTCCTCTGTCAGTCAGGGATTGTCGGAAGTTGTCTTCCCAGTGAATCCTGGGTTGTCCTGGAGGTCAGGTTCTTGGCCTGCTTTGCTGTGGCCAGTTGGCTGTCTAGTCACTTGGTTTAAATGTCTTGTCAGTGTCTGATCAGTTGACTTTGATGTCATATCACTGTGTGGTAGTTGACTTTGATGTCATGTTACCATGTAGTTGACTTTGATGTCATGTTACCATGTAGTTGACTTTAATGTCATGTTACCATGTAGTTGATTTTATGTCATGTTAGTCATGGTATGTTGCTTTAGACATATCAGTATGTGATTGGTTAGCCATATAAATTGTTGTCATTTGCATTGTTGCTTTAAATGAGATTTCAGTGTGTGATTGGTTAGCTTTAAATGAAATATCATTGTTTTATTGGTTAGCTTTAAGTGAGATATCAGTGTGTGATTGGTTAGCTTTAAATGAAATATCAGTATGTAATTGGTTAGCTTTAAATGCCCTGTTAGTGTGTTACCTGGTATCCATTTAAGGCTGGATCATCTGTTAGCCAAGGTCATTAAAAAAAAATATCTTTTTGGATTTAAACCCACAACCTGCAGATTCACAGTGCATCTAGCATGCATCTAGCTGCTCCACCATGGCGGCTCCCTTATTAGGTAATATGTCAGCTTATTCAGTCTCAAGAATAAAAATTAAATTTGTTGTTTGTCATTCCACTTGACTGGAAAAACCACTGTTGCAAGGGGATGGTCAGAGACAGTTGCCTGTAATCATATCATCCTGAGAGCCGGCATAGAACACCATATCATCCTGAGAGCTGGCATAGAACACCATATCATCCTGAGAGCTGACATAGAACACCATATCATCCTGACAGCTGGCATAGAACACCATATCATCCTGAGAGCTGACATAGAACACCATATCATCCTGAGAGCTGACATAGAACACCATATCATCCTGAGAGCTGACATAGAACACCATATCATCCTGAGAGCTGGCATAGAACACCATATCATCCTGAGAGCTGACATAGAACACCATATCATCCTGACAGCTGACATAGAACACCATATCATCCTGACAGCTGGCATAGAACACCATATCATCCTGACAGCTGACATAGAACACCATATCATCCTGAGAGCTGACATAGAACACCATATCATCCTGAGAGCTGGCATAGAACACCATATCATCCTGAGAGCTGACATAGAACATCATATCATCCTGAGAGCTGACATAGAACACCATATCATCCTGAGAGCTGACATAGAACACCATATCATCCTGAGAGCTGACATAGAACACCATATCATCCTGAGAGCTGACATAGAACACCATATCATCCTGAGAGCTGGCATAGAACACCATATCATCCTGAGAGCTGACATAGAACATCATATCATCCTGAGAGCTGACATAGAACACCATATCATCCTGAGAGCTGACATAGAACACCATATCATCCTGAGAGCTGACATAGAACACCATATCATCCTGAGAGCTGACATAGAACACCATATCATCCTGAGAGCTGGCATAGAACACCATATCATCCTGACAGCTGACATAGAACACCATATCATCCTGACAGCTGACATAGAACACCATATCATCCTGAGAGCTAACATAGAACACATATCATCCTGAGAGCTGACATAGAACACCATATCATCCTGAGAGCTGACATAGAACACCATATCATCCTGAGAGCTGACATAGAACATCATATCATCCTGAGAGCTGACATAGAACACCATATCATCCTGAGAGCTGACATAGAACACCATATCATCCTGAGAGCTGACATAGAACATCATATCATCCTGAGAGCTGACATAGAACACCATATCATCCTGAGAGCTGACATAGAACATCATATCATCCTGAGAGCTGACATAGAACACCATATCATCCTGAGAGCTGACATAGAACACCATATCATCCTGAGAGCTGGCATAGAACACCATATCATCCTGACAGCTGACATAGAACACCATATCATCCTGAGAGCTGACATAGAACACCATATCATCCTGAGAGCTGACATAGAACACCATATCATCCTGAGAGCTGACATAGAACACCATATCATCCTGAGAGCTGACATAGAACACCATATCATCCTGAGAGCTGACATAGAACACCATATCATCCTGAGAGCTGACATAGAACATCATATCATCCTGAGAGCTGACATAGAACACCATATCATCCTGAGAGCTGGCATAGAACACCATATCATCCTGACAGCTGACATAGAACACCATATCATCCTGAGAGCTGACATAGAACACCATATCATCCTGAGAGCTGGCATAGAACACCATATCATCCTGAGAGCTGACATAGAACATCATATCATCCTGAGAGCTGACATAGAACACCATATCATCCTGAGAGCTGACATAGAACACCATATCATCCTGAGAGCTGGCATAGAACATCATATCATCCTGAGAGCTGGCATAGAACACCATATCATCCTGAGAGCTGACATAGAACACCATATCATCCTGAGAGCTGACATAGAACACCATATCATCCTGAGAGCTGACATAGAACACAAAGGTCTAAGGTGGTAGGGGAGCTGCATGGTAATCTGTTTTACTTGGCATGGCACATGATGATGGTAACACATACCTCACTACCTGTTTATGGACTTGTTACTAAAAGAAACAGAAATTATATTTTTTGCACTGTTTTTATCTGTTGGTTTGTTGCCTGTTTTGCAGTGTCTATCAAATAGTTAATATACTTCATTTGTTTGTCTTCACCAGAGTTCATTGACCTCAGATACTCAGAACAAGTCTTTGCTTGTAAGTCTGTCTTGTTTTGTAAGTCTGTCTTGTGTTTTTCAGTGTTGTAAGTCTGTCTTGTGTTGTAAGTCTGTCTTGTGTTTTTCAGTGTTGTAAGTCTGTCTTGTGTTGTTCAGTGTTGTAAGTCTATCTTGTGTTGCACAGTGTTGTAAGTCTGTCTTGTGTTGTAAGTCTGTCTTGTGTTTTTCAGTGTTGTAAGTCTGTCTTGTGTTGTTCAGTGTTGTAAGTCTGTCTTGTGTTGTTCAGTGTTGTAAGTCTGTCTTGTGTTGTTCAAGTTGTAAGTTTGTCTTCTGTTGTTCAGTGTTGTAAGTCTGTGTTCTGTTGTTAAGTGTTGTAAGTCTGTCTTGTGTTGTTCAGTGTTGTAAGTCTGTCTTGTGTTGTTCAGTGTTGTAAGTCTGTCTTGTATTGTTCAGTGTTGTAAGTTTGTCTTGTATTGTTCAGTGTTGTAAGTCTGTCTTGTGTTGTTCAGTGTTGTAAGTCTGTGTTGTGTTGTTCAGTGTTATAAGTCTGTCTTGTGTTGTTTAGTGTTGTAAGTTTGTCTCATGTTGTTCATTGTTGTAAGTTTGTCTCCTGTTGTTCAGTGTTGTAAGTCTGTCTTGTGTTGTTCAGTATTGTAAGTCAGTCTTGTTAGTTTGTCTTGTGTTGTTCTGTGTTGTAAGTCTGTCTTGTGTTGTTTGGTGATGTAAGTCTGTTTTGTGTTTAGTGTTGTAAGTCTGCTTTGTTTGTCCAATGTTGTAAATCTTGTGTTGTTCAGTGTTTTTTTTATTTAGCACTAGAAGTGCACTGGATAACATGTTAGCTTACCTTTCCTGTGGGTATAGGTTAAAATCCACTTTGAGAAAGATTTTTAAGGCTTGTTATTGACTACGTGGAGGTGTGTCGGCACACGAACTGATACATGCTGCAGGAGATCATAGCTTATGGAGAGGCATGATCGCCCATGCCAGTTGGCAAGGCACCTGATGATGATGATGATTGACTACATCAGCTACCTTGGGCTGATTGGTTAATAAATATGGGAAATGATGTACATTGTGACAGCAAAAACGATGGAGGGGAAGAGGGACAGATAGAGAACAGGAAAGAGAATTTTGGACAATGGCATTATGATCTGAAAGATATCTGAATGAGAAATAATTGGCAGTGCACAAGACAGCAGGCTGTGGAGAGATATATATATATATATATATATAAATACCATGTATATATATATACATATATATATATTTATATATATATATATAATAGTATATAATATGAAAGTTGGCCACGTGTGTTTGGTAGGCACGTTGTCTGGAGGCTTGGACACAGACTCTTGACTGTGTTACTTACTTCAATCTGCTTTCAGTTTAATGCTTTCAGCTCGAGAAGTCCATTGTTGGGCTTAGTGCGAATCTCTTAGAAGCAGATATTTAATGAGTACAACATTGGCCAGTGATAGTTGTGCCTAAATATCTACTTTGGTACTGTTTGCGATTGAACAGTGTTTAGATGGGCTGGTAATGATTAAATATTCTTCTTCTTCTTGCTCGTAGGCTGTAAACTCCAGCAGAAAATTCTGATTGTTTGTCCACCTCTGGTCTGAGTGTTGTAAACACATCTTGGCTCCTCGCCTCTCAAGCAGATGCAGTCCAACGTTGAAGGAAGCACCCAGGTTGACTCCCATGACATGCCTGTGGGGGAGACAGTGTGTCTATTTTTGTTTGGATCTTTTCTTGTTTTGCCCACAGTGAGGCCCCAGAACCAACACCGGTAGATTTAAATATTCTCAACAATATCATCTGTAAAATTTTTGCTATGAAAAAAGCCTTCTTTCAAAAGTCATTGTGGCATTTCAATTGTTCTAGTAATAAATCACTGTTTTAATTTTTTAAAAATTATCCAAGGGAAGGTATTTAATTCTCCACTCCATTTGTGTTTCGTTGATTTTTGTTTGTTTTAAATCTCAAAATGTTAAACAAAAATTGTCTAATGATTTAGGTCAAAAAAATTTTCCCTCAGGAAACCAGGTTATGGGCCCATTTTCCCCCAGTGATTCTGGGGCAGGAGGAAGTTCCATCCTTTCTTATAGGTAATCATTGTGAGGCAGACAAGCAGCTTTCTTTGTATATTTATCTACCAAATAACCACAAGCTCCTAATTTCCTGCTGTGCAGTGTAAGGTAGGGGAAGCAGCAAAGAGTTGAAAATATTCTCTTCTCCTGCAGGGGGCGGTGGCAGTCTTGAACTCTAAGCTGTCGCTGCTGGATTCTGTCAGCACCGAGTCTGTGGAAGCTCGACTCAATGTGGTCTTACAAAAAATGCAACAGATTGGAGAGAGGAAGGAGAAGGAGGCACAAGTTGATCTGGACAAGCAGAAACAGGTTTCTGATTTATCTGTGTGTGTGTTATCTGCCTATCTCTCTGTCTGTCTCTCTCTCACATACACGCTTACACACACTCTGTCTCTCTTATTTTACCTTTGTCCTTTTTCTGCCGTCTCCTTTTTTATGTGGAGGAGGGGGTTTGTGTCTGTTGGAAATATGGAGCTAAAATTATTTTTCGTAGAGATTATGTAGATTATGACCCGGTAGCCTCTCCCGTGCCTGTACTATGTGAATATCATTGTATAATTGTGTTTACAGCTGAATGAATATAACCCATAACATGGACTGATTATATGTTCATCATGCCTTTCCCAGAATGTTGAGACAATTCTGAGGTCAGTCGCTGCCTCACTGTTCTGTGCATACCAAGCTATTATATTTTCTCTTCTTTGCTCACTCATGTTGAGACAAGTCTGAGGTCAGTCGGTCGCTGCCTCACTGTTCTGTGCATACCAAGCTATTATATCTACTCTTCTTTGCTCACTCATGTTGAGACAAGTCTGAGGTCAGTCGCTGCCTCACTGTTCTGTGCATACCAAGCTATTATATCTACTCTTCTTTGCTCACTCATGTTGAGACAATTCTGAGGTCAGTCGCTGCCTCACTGTTCTGTGCATACCAAGCTATTATATCTACTCTTCTTTGCTCACTCATGTTGAGACAAGTCTGAGGTCAGTCGCTGCCTCACTGTTCTGTGCATACCAAGCTATTATATCTACTCTTCTTTGCTCACTCATTCCTAGAGGCTCTTAACCACATATTCCTTGTAATGCATCAGTTCATCACCCAATAGTACAGATGCAGCCAGCCTGTCTGTCTGTCCGTTTCCCAAAACACTGGCTTACCATGGAGATAGATACTAAAAGATGTACTTTACCTATCAAGCGATGCTTGTCAACCTGCATTGATTCTTCTTTCTTTTTGTTGAGAATAAAAGTTCACAGACAAGTGGGATAAAAGAAAAGGTGAGTTTTGCTATTTGTTGTCTATTTTGAGAAAGGATTGTGGCCTATGTGTAGGGCTGTGTATATTTATAAAGGTAAACAGAAATTGTTATCTGTATCTCTCTGGGTGGTTGGGTAAGTTCTTGTATTTGATGTTTGTGAGTTGCAGCTGGGTTCACACTCTCTCTTCCACAGATCTCTGACCTGTATGATCTTGTCAAGAAATGGGAATCCACAGCTGAGACCTTGCCACAAATTGTGGACAGACTTCTGTCATTGAAAGAGTTACATGAACAAGGTAAACCTTCACTTTGTTCAGGTCTATTTAGTTGTTGGGTCATTAACAGAGTTACATGAACAAGGTAAACCTTTAGTTTGTTCAGGTCTTGTTAGTTGTTGGGTCATTAACAGAGTTACATGAACAAGGTAAACCTTCAGTAGGAATAAACTCACAGGGAGCAAGTACAGCAGGGATCTACCAGTCATCAGTAGAAGTTATCCTCGTCGACAAGTGTTTCGGCCCACGATTCTCCTAGACACTTTGGGAGGTGGGCCCACCTGAGTTCATGAAGCTCAGGGCTGGTACCCTGCTGCACGAATTACCGGATGGTGTTTTTCTTTCAGATAGGGACAAGACGACTTGGTGATTTGCAGAAGGTACTGTGAGATGAGAAGTCGTTGCGGCAGCCTAATTAGAACAGACAGCATGCCTGGACGACCGAGCGACAAGCTTACGTTTGGTTTACCGGACACATGTTGGACTTTTGTTAGCAGGTGGCAGAGGAACACTGGCAGACAATTCGGACACGATGGACTTTCAAAGGGTGAGAAACCCTTTTCCACTAGAAACCTGGACCAGCTCACTGAGGCCCGTCCCCTACGTTGTTGCGTTGCGTCCAAAGCCATCTCGAGGCCCTTCCGGCTGCCTCGCCCAGTTTTTTAAGTGTTCGTTTCCGTTCATTACCGCGCAATCCTAGTTATAATCCCAGTATATTAAAGTTTAGTTAGTTGTTGGGTCATTGACAGAGTTACATGAACAAGGTAAACCTTCAGTATATTAAAGTTTAGTTAGTTGTTGGGTCATTCACAGAGTTACATGAACAAGGTAAACCTTCAGTATATTAAAGTTTAGTTAGTTGTTGGGTCATTAACAGAGTTACATGAACAAGGTAAACCTTCACTTTGTTCAGGTCTAGTTAGTTGTTGGGTCATTAAGAAAGTTAAATGAACAAGGTAAACCTTAATTGTACTCAGGTCTGATTAACTAGTTGGTTGTTTGGGTCATCCTTATTGCATATGGAACATCTTAACGTTTACTAGCTGTAAACTCTGGCAGAAAGTTCTGGTTGGTCATCCGCTTCTGGACTTTGGTGCTATTCCAGGATTTGAGTTTTTCCTGTACATTAATGTTTGCAGGTCTGGCTTATTAATATGCAGACTGTTGGTTCCTAACCTCTCAGGCAGATGTACTTTGAAGGAGACTGCCCTAATTACAACATGATTGTTAGGGAGGCAGTATGTTCACGCCCCCCCCCCCCCCCCCCCCCCCAACCACCCAGAAGACAATTGGGGCCCCAGAAACTCACTGAGGAAGCACATGGAATAAGTCCTAAGTTTTGAGATCTCAGCTCAGAATGTCCATCATAATGAGGTGACTGACTTTATGTTTGATAAATATACCATGGTGGTGGCCAACACACTAGGACCACCCAGTCAATAATTGATACATGCACACTGTTACAGAGTACTGCATTAACCGCTACTTTAGGGCACGCTAACTACAACCGCTACACAATCGTGACATTCTAAACTGTGAAAACACAGACGCTTGCTGATGTCAGTGGCGTTTGGTTGTTTTAAGTTTTATCTCTGGATTTTATGTTTGCAAGAAAGTGTATAAAAAAAAAAATGAAGTTTGTGGCCATTAAGAGAGCATCAATAGTAACATCATGCAGAGAACACTATGCAGGACATATTTGTTTGTCTTCAAATTGGCTTTAGCTGTACCCAGTCAGATCATCAGGTACTAGCTGGATGGTACTTGGGTCTGAAACTTTTGGCCCCCACTGTAGTTGCAGCAATATATTTGTTTTTGTGGCGAAGACATTCTAGCTGCTTAATGCGTTCGGTCTCATGTGGCTGTGTTCTGACCAGTTCCAGTCGGTTTCTTTATTTATCAGTTTTACAAAAACATTAACTTATTCGTCATAAAAACATGTTTAGACCATGCTTGAACTGAATAATTACTGCATGAATTATTAATGTGCTTGGTCATCAGCCTTGCAGTTCAGCCAGGCTTTGTCCTATCTGGACACAACGCAGCAGGAGGTTTGTTCAAGCATCACCGGCCACAGTGACATGCTGAAGCAGGTAAGATCGCTTTTGTGGAGATCATTTGTAGATGTTGTCAGTTTATTGTCAAGTGTTGCGAGTCAGTTTGGTGTCAAGTGTTAGTTTGTTGTCAAGTGTTGCATGTCAGTTTGGTGTCTAGTGTTGCGTGTCAGTTTGGTGTCTAGTGTTGCGTGTCAGTTTGGTGTCTAGTGTTGCGTGTCAATTTGGTGTCAAATATCAGTTTGGTGTCTAGTGTTGCATGTCAGTTTGGTGTCTAGTGTTGCATGTCAGTTTGGTGTCTAGTGTTGCATGTCAGTTTGGTGTCTAGTGTTGCGTGTCAGTTTGGTGTCTAGTGTTGCGCGTCAGTTTGGTGTCTAGTGTTGCGTGTCAGTTTGGTGTTTGGTGTCTAGTGTTGCGTGTCAGTTTGGTGTCTAGTGTTGCGCGTCAGTTTGGTGTCTAGTGTTGCGTGTCAGTTTGGTGTTTGGTGTCTAGTGTTGCGTGTCAGTTTGGTGTCTAGTGTTGCGTGTCAGTTTGGTGTCTAGTGTTGCGTGTCAGTTTGGTGTCAAGTATCAGTTTGGTGTCAAGTGTCAATTTGATATCCAGTGTTTGTTTTAAGGTGTCAAAGATTCACTGTTTCATTTGAGTAAGTGAGCATTTATGGTAGATAGGGTTCTCTGTCTGATGATGTACATGTGATAAATTTGATTCCCTGTGGTTGATAAAATAAGAAGTGTTCCTTCTGCATAAATATGATTTATAACATGGCGTTCTTGCGACATGAGATGCCTGAGAAAAGCCACCAATCTAACTATATGAGATCGAGTGAATAATGGTACTGTCGGATAGATTGTCGGAACAACACCCTGTACTAGACTCGTCGAGAAACAGCAGATCTCATTAGAATGCAGCAGCATTAGATACCATCACAAGCACTACATCTGACAAGATAAACTATGCCAGATACCATCACAAGCATTACATCTGACAAGATAAACTACACCAAATACCATCACAAGCATTACATCTGACAAGATAAACTATGCCAGATACCATCACAAGCATTACATCTGACAAGATAAACTACATCAGATACCATCACAAGCACTACATCTGACAAGATAAACTACACCAGATACCATCACAAGCATTACATCTGACAAGATAAACTACACCAGATACCATCACAAGCATTACATCTTAGAAGATAAACTACACCAGATACCATCACAAGCATTACATCTTAGAAGATAAACTACACCAGATACCATCACAAGCATTACATCTGACAAGATAAACTACACCAGATACCATCACAAGCATTACATCTTAGAAGATAAACTACACCAGATACCATCACAAGCACTACATCTCACATGTTAAACTACACCAGATACCATCACAAGCATTACATCTGACAAGATAAACTACACCAGATACCATCACAAGCATTACATCTTAGAAGATAAACTACACCAGATACCATCACAAGCATTACATCTCAGAAGATAAACTACACCAGATACCATCACAAGCATTACATCTGACAAGATAAACTACACCAGATACCATCACAAGCACTACATCTGACAAGATAAACTACACCAGATACCATCACAAGCACTACATCTGACAAGATAAACTACACCAGATACCATCACAAGCACTACATCTGACAAGATAAACTACACCAGATACCATCACAAGCATTACATCTTAGAAGATAAACTACACCAGATACCATCACAAGCACTACATCTGACAAGATAAACTACACCAGATACCATCACAAGCATTACATCTGACAAGATAAACTACACCAGATACCATCACAAGCACTACATCTGACAAGATAAACTACACCAGATACCATCACAAGCACTACATCTGACAAGATAAACTACACCAGATACCATCACAAGCACTACATCTGACAAGATAAACTACACCAGATACCATCACAAGCATTACATCTTAGAAGATAAACTACACCAGATACCATCACAAGCACTACATCTCAGAAGATAAACTACACCAGATACCATCACAAGCATTACATCTCAGAAGATAAACTACACCAGATACCATCACAAGCATTACATCTGACAAGATAAACTACACCAGATACTATCACAAGCATTACATCTTAGAAGATAAACTACACCAGATACTATCACAAGCATTACATCTCAGAAGATAAACTACACCAGATACCATCACAAGCACTACATCTCAGAAGATAAACTACACCAGATACTATCACAAGCATTACATCTGACAAGATAAACTACACCAGATACCATCACAAGCATTACATCTTAGAAGATAAACTACACCAGATACCATCACAAGCATTACATCTGACAAGATAAACTACACCAGATACCATCACAAGCACTACATCTGACAAGATAAACTACACCAGATACCATCACAAGCATTACATCTGACAAGATAAACTACACCAGACACCATCACAAGCACTACATCTGACAAGATAAACTACACCAGATACCATCACAAGCATTACATCTGACAAGATAAACTATGCCAGATACCATCACAAGCATTACATCTTAGAAGATAAACTACACCAGATACCATCACAAGCATTACATCTTAGAAGATAAACTACACCAGATACCATCACAAGCATTACATCTTAGAAGATAAACTACACCAGATACCATCACAAGCATTACATCTGACAAGATAAACTATGCCAGATACCATCACAAGCATTACATCTGACAAGATAAACTACACCAGATACCATCACGAGCATTACATCTGACAAGATAAACTACACCAGATACCATCACAAGCACTACATCTGACAAGATAAACTACACCAGATACCATCACAAGCATTACATCTTAGAAGATAAACTACACCAGATACCATCACAAGCATTACATCTCACATGATAAACTAAAGCAGATACCATCACAAGCACTACATCTTAGAAGATAAACTACACCAGATACCATCACAAGCATTACATCTTAGAAGATAAACTACACCAGATACCATCACAAGCACTACATCTTAGAAGATAAACTACACCAGATACCATCACAAGCACTACATCTTAGAAGATAAACTACACCAGATACCATCACAAGCATTACATCTTAGAAGATAAACTACACCAGATACCATCACAAGCACTACATCTTAGAAGATAAACTACACCAGATACCATCACAAGCATTACATCTTAGAAGATAAACTACACCAGATACCATCACAAGCATTACATCTTAGAAGATAAACTACACCAGATACCATCACAAGCATTACATCTTAGAAGATAAACTACACCAGATACCATCACAAGCATTACATCTTAGAAGATAAACTACACCAGATACCATCACAAGCACTACATCTTAGAAGATAAACTACACCAGATACCATCACAAGCATTACATCTGACAAGATAAACTACACCAGATACCATCACAAGCACTACATCTGACAAGATAAACTACACCAGATACCATCACAAGCATTACATCTTAGAAGATAAACTACACCAGATACCATCACAAGCACTACATCTCACATGTTAAACTACACCAGATACCATCACAAGCATTACATCTGACAAGATAAACTACGCCAGATACCATCACAAGCATTACATCTTAGAAGATAAACTACACCAGATACCATCACAAGCATTACATCTGACAAGATAAACTACACCAGATACCATCACAAGCATTACATCTCAGAAGATAAACTACACCAGATACCATCACAAGCATTACATCTTAGAAGATAAACTACACCAGATACCATCACAAGCATTACATCTCAGAAGATAAACTACACCAGATACCATCACAAGCATTACATCTGACAAGATAAACTACACCAGATACCATCACAAGCATTACATCTGACAAGATAAACTACACCAGATACCATCCACAAGCATTACATCTGACAAGATAAAGCACTACACCAGATACCATCACAAAGCATTACATCTGACAAGATAAACTACACCAGATACCATCACAAGCATTACATCTCTACAAGATAAACTACACCAGATACCATCACAAGCATTACATCTTAGAAGATAAACTACACCAGATACCATCACAAGCATTACATCTGACAAGATAAACTACACCAGATACCATCACAAGCATTACATCTTAGAAGATAAACTACACCAGATACCATCACAAGCATTACATCTGACAAGATAAACTACACCAGATACCATCACAAGCATTACATCTGACAAGATAAACTACACCAGATACCATCACAAGCATTACATCTGAGAAGATAAACTACACCAGATACCATCACAAGCATTACATCTGACAAGATAAACTACACCAGATACCATCACAAGCATTACATCTACACACAGATAAAACTACACCAGATACCATCACAAGCATTACATCTTAGAAGATAAACTACACCAGATACCATCACAAGCATTACATCTCACAAGATAAACTACACCAGATACCATCACAAGCATTACATCTGAGAAGATAAACTACACCAGATACCATCACAAGCATTACATCTTAGAAGATAAACTACACCAGATACCATCACAAGCATACATCTTAGAAGATAAACTACACCAGATACCATCACAAGCATTACATCTTAAGCATACACCATCTCAAGATAAACTACATCCATCACAAGCATTACATCTTAGAAGATAAACTACACCAGATACCATCACAAGCATTACATCTGACAAGATAAACTACACCAGATACCATCACAAGCATTACATCTGAGAAGATAAACTACACCAGATACCATCACAAGCATTACATCTGACAAGATAAACTACACCAGATACCATCACAAGCATTACATCTTACAAGATAAACTACACCAGATACCATCACAAGCATACACCAGACATCTTAGAAGATAAACTACACCAGATACATCACAAGCATTACATCTGACAAGATAAACTACACCAGATACCATCACAAGCATTACATCTGACAAGATAAACTACACCAGATACCATCACAAGCAT